TATGACATATATAGAAAAGGTAGGAGATGACGTTATTGGTAAAGAGCAGCAAGGGAGGCTTAAGACTATACAATGATTTAAAGGTATTAATTTTTTTTTTGTGGGAGTTTTATGTTTTACTTTTGTCAGAACCTTTCGCTATCCACAAAACAGCTATTTTGGGAAAGCTATTCGTGATTTTTTCTCACTTTTTATTGTACTTTAAAGACAGTTAATTTCTGATTATTTTTGTTACCTCACGACTGAGCATGACAGATGAAGCATTGACGTAAGTGCTTATATCCCAGAGCACCTGAGCCAGCGAATTGTGCAGCGGTCCTTGGGTTTCTTCGTAAAATAAGGCCATGTACAGCGGACTTCTGAAGATATCCATCTTTTCGTACGCGATAGTTAGATTGTCTTTCGAATTCTACAGTGAGAAAAAAGTATCAATATGCATTACTATTTACGGAGGGTCTAGAACTGTTTAACATTATTTGCTTTTTTGTGGCAAAAACAGCTATTTCAGCAAAAGCGTCAATAAATAAATAAATAAACACCAAAGAGTAAGCAAGAGATTTGCTATGTTTTCACAATTCCTTTGATAGCATGTAGATGACGTGATTGTACGAATCGTCTAATGATAACCTCATACTACAATATTCACGAATTTATGAAATACATCAGCACGAGATTGAGTGTTTTATATAACACATATCAAGCAGTGATAAAAGAGCTGAAAATACGACGCCTTGAAGGTTTTATTTTAGACGAATGTTTAGAGTGTTAAGTGTTTGACTTGCCCAAATGATTTTCAAAGAGAAATTTGGGATCGAGAAAAAAGGTTTTAGTGGTTTGAATTATTGATCCTCAAATGAAGTAAAAAGTGCCGCAGTACTAACATATTGGAGGTTTAGCAAAAGTACGTCAAATACTTAAACAGCAGGGCGGTTGAAAGACTGAGTAGATACCTTATTGGATGTGCACGATTGTGTGTTGACCTGAGGCGGAAACTGGCTGAAAGGGGGCTCCTGGAGATAACTTGTCGAGGCAATGAACTGATAAAGACTTTTCATCTGAAAAAAAAAATTAAAGAGAGAAAAATTCTCAATTTCAAAGAATTGTTGAAGGGTACCTAAAGCAACAACAACAAAACTATATTTTTCACAGCCAGTGGTTAGGAGTGAAAGTTGACAAAAATAACAGAAAAAAATAACCATCTTGTATAAACACGACACAGATTTTTCTTCAACATATTTCCTAAACCAAAAGAGTATTTGCTAAGCCCGTTCGTTCCTGGACTTTTCGTTAAAAAACTGACGCCTTTTGAAACATATACTAATTAAAAGCGTTTTTCTGGTTATAGTTCAGACAGAAACGCAAAGTCAAAAATTTAAAGAACCAAATGACTAAACCATGCAATCTCCGTTTTCAATCTAGAAACTGCTCTGAGTTTCTAATTGAAAATAAAGGTTCTGAATTTTTTTCAGGCTTTTAACTGAAGAAATCTCATTCGGGTATACTTTGAAAAAGAAAATTAGTTTAGGCTACACAAGTTTCGTCCACCAGTGACGTCATTAATGAGGACAATGATCGTAGTTCACCGCGGGCAGTTGAGGAAGTTTTTTCAAGTGAATACGTTAGGACCTTTTATTGAGGAAATGACTTCATCTGCAATAATATTAACGCAGATTTAATTCATTCCTACCTCTTGTGTGGCGTTGGTGGTCTTCTCAGGGATCACATAAGTGACAAGGGCTTGTAATGTGCTTGGTGTTGAACTTAACGTGGCGCTGAGGGTTTGTGAACTTAATGTCGCAACAATAATGGTGGCGATAAGAACCTTTGAAATTTCCATTTTTCAATCTGTTAAGAGAAAATGAAATACAATTATAAAATTGCGACAGCTATAAATTTGATGGTGAAATCTCTTTCACGCACATTACTAGAACGTCATAATTTTCTCTTCGTCAGCGACACATATAACTTTTAACATGTAACTTTTCCTTACCTTTCACTTAGTTGTCTGAAGACTCAAATTGTTTGATGTGAGGGTTAGTTTGAATGTGAGAACTGAAGTTGTGGTGTGCTTTATATGCCAACTGTAGAGGAAGACTTAAGCGGTCTTCCATCATTTTCTTTAAGGGAAATTTTTTGATTTATTTCTGCGGCAAATTCTTCTTAGTCTAAAAGTACTTCCAATCATATTATATTCTGGGAAATATTCTTTCCTACCATCACACATGGCATTCAGTAATGCTGTATACTAGATATAGATATGGACTCCGGAATGGGTAGTGCCATACCGATAAGTTCGTTTTGTGGAAGACGTAACTCAATGTAGCGTCGCATCATTTTTCTGTAAAAGGTAATCGTTTTGGATCATTCCTGTGACACAGCTTTCCGTGGTTGATGTACCTCCAGTAATCATGTTATATTCTCAGAAGTATTCCGCATTATCTTTGAACATTAAAAAATTCATTAACTTTTAGTTTTAATGGGAGGCGTCTTTAAAAAGATCGTAGACCTTCCGATACCGGAATCTTCGCTAAATTGAGATTTCTTCCTAAAATTTCCCATTATTTTCTACATAGAACTGGTTTCTATTTTCCTGCATTTTTATAATCCATCTCTTTTCTGAGACGAAATATCAGGGGTATATTTGTTTTACTTCAGATCCAAGTGAAAGTTCCTAAATGGGAGATTGTAATACTCATCACGGGTAACGCAAGATCTGCACCACTTGTGTCAATTGTCACAGGAACTCAAGTTCGATTTAAGTGTATTTCATGATTTTTTATTAGCAAATGTCAGAGGATATGATATTCGATATCAGGCTGAAAATATTCCCCATAACATGAACCTTACTTAGTCGAATAGCATAACGAAGTTAAAGAAAAAGGACTGAAAGTCACAAAGTTCTTCAAGGACTTCTGTTTATTTGAGGATGGAAATATTAACGACCTTAAGCAACAGCGACGACGAAGGCAGTGAAAACATGACTAAAAACATGAATTTGCGTCCTTTCAAACTTTATCGGGTCTGTTTGGAACCGCTCAATTCGTAAATGGTAGGCGACTTTTCCTAGAGTTGAATTCTCAAGGGCTTTATCCATGTTCATTAAAACAGAGAAAGGAAAATTTGTCGTCGTATGGGAGGTTTCACGTCGTAGTCGTGCAGTGGACGTCGAAAACTATGTACTAAAAAGCGTGATGTACGTGCAGAGCAGTTGTTTTGCTCATAAAACCAATTGTTTTTTGACAACGATGTTATTGTCTTCGTCATAGTCGCTTAAGGTCCCTATTGTTTTATGTGAGGCTAATCCAAGAATAACTTAATCATCTTATAGGGTCCTAGAGGATTAGAGCGAACTGGAATTAGACAGTGTGTTTATGTAAACAACAGCTGGTCATTTAAGGTTAGCTGACTAACATATTTAAATGTGGCCCAATATTGATAATGGCCGAAGCAATGCCAGGGATGTAAATTCTGTGTATATGTTTGACCAATCACCTCTTCGTTGGCTAGTTGAGTTGAAATAATAAATCATAAGACAGATTTGCAGCATTCTGATTATTTTTTTATTATAAGAATTGTTATTATTGCTACTTTGTCGTTGACATCTCGAGGTGACAAATTATGCCATAAGGAAACAAAAACTTTTTCGGAAAAGAGATAAACCCCTAAGGATGGGTTTTTGTAGGAAAGCCCCGCCAATTGAGGACGTATTTGGTAGCTACAAACTTGAAAAAAAAAAAAAGAAAAAAGGAGAACAAACTCCGCTTCCCCTCTCCATCACCGGCCCCCGAAATTATGGAAGAAGCCACTGCAACCTCGTTCCCAGGGTTCTCTCCTACCCGCTTTACGGAGCGAGCGAGCGAGAGAGAGAACCTGGGAACGAGGTTGAAGCCGCGGAAGATGTACCTTTTTTCCATTCATCACTTTTGACACGCGAGTTAATAAAACCAATTTCAAGGCGATAAAAAAAAAGTGCCATTTTTTTTTTACCTCTACACAGCCTTGTCAGGACCAAAACATCAGAATAGAAGAGTGTTGGTTTTTTTTAAGCAGTTTATTGTAAATGTAAAAACAAGACGCCTACCATGTTTATGGTCCTTAAAACATCTGTTACAGATTACAGTATAAACTGCTCCCGATCAGTTACAAACAGTATTTGATGCACTTTAGGATTAAGGTAACTACGTACACTCTTTATAGCGGCTAGAAAATAGAAGAAACGGTGCCTGTGGGAAATACTAGAGCAGAAAAAATACAATAATATTTAAAATAACCCGACCAACATCTTTCTTAGTGAGCCTGGTTGGCCATATACCTAGCGGACTCCATCTCCTGTACACTTCGAACGTAAAAAGATCCCCAGGTCCCGAGTAGGCTCTCATGAACCATAACATCATGTATAAATACCGAACATTTTGAAATCACTTAAACAACTTTGCCTTTTTTTTCCTTGAGTAATATGGAATACCACGTCTTGCTTGCATTTACCGGGGTGTAATGCAATCGTTTTTTCCTTTTATAAGTAGAAGACACAAGTGGCGACCTCTTTAATGACGTTCCTTGGCGAGTAACCAACATAGGCTGCACTCAAGATGGCGCAGAGAAGGACGTAATTGCGGTAAATCGTCACCATGTCATCTGTAAGAGGAACTTGCTGTGAAGAATAAAATGGATTTCATTTCAAGATAACTTTTGAGAATAGGTGTAACCATAGACTGCGAGCAGTCTCTTATATATTTTTCTTTGCAAAGTTACTGATCGCGCTGGATGAGATAAGAACTAGACGGATTTTAAGAGAAAAGGCGGACTGCAAGCAGTCTAGTGTCACCACATTACCGTTACACTTTATCCACATCGTATCTCAAATTTTGCCCAAAAGTGACTCATTAAGGAGTTAACAGTAGTCTACTTAATTTTTCTTGGGTAGATTCAGTAGTGGTCTTCTATTGATTTTTGTTCTATATTTCATTATTCAAAACACCGTTCTTTGGTACGAGAAGTGATTATCTTACCAGCAAGTTATCTTTAACCAGTATTTGGAGGTACACACGAATGATGTGGTTCATCTGCGCCGTAAAATTTCCAGTTGCAGTGGTTGGTACAGGGAAGGTGTTCTTTTGGATCTGAAAAGTTTGCAAAAGATGTTCAGATTTATCAGACTTATTTTGAATGAACTTAATCGCTTAATCGCTGTCCAATAGATAGCGCAATTGGTTTTCTGATACTTATCCATTGGATAGTGATTTATCCGATGGATAGCGCTACCCAGCTATTCAACGACTAGGGCCTGGAGGGGAATAAAATTACGAAAATAACTATTTCGCTTTGCATCTTATCTTTCTAAATAAATGATGGCCTAAGGGGTTTTCACGATATGCAGTGAAAACGCAGAGAAAATAGGGATAGCTTTTAGGCTTCAAAAGTGAAATGTTTTAATCATATGCGAAATACCTTGTCTGGTTTCCTTGTGTCGTTTCCTTTGGACTACCTCTAAACCTCGGGAAAATACATGTGGCAGATTTGTTTTAAAATAAATCACTTTAAATTAGTATCACATTCTTGGCCTGCAAAAAATGTACTCCGTGTTTGGGTCACTTATTTCGAAAAGGTTATGTAATAATTCAATTCAAATCAAAATTTTGTTACCTCACAATTAAACATTACAGATGTCCCATTGATGTCATTGCTTATATCCCAGAGCACCTCAGCCAGCGAATTGTGCAGCGGCCCTTGATCTTCTCCATAGGATAAGGCCATGTACAGCGGACTTCTGAAAATATCCATTTTCTCGTAGGCGATTGTGAGATTATCTTTTAATTGCTAAATAGAAGATATTCAAATACATTTCTTACAGCCACTCTAGAGCTGTCAAAATTTATTTTATATTAATCAGAGTATCAAACCTGTTGGAGCAAGATAAATTTAGTTCATTTGCTTATTGTAAATTTAAATTAAAAAAAAATCTACTTAATTTATTCACAGTTTGTGACTAAATCATGAAACTAGTGTCAGTCTTGAGATGGAGGTTTCCAAACGGATACCTGGTTTAAGGTGAAAGATTTTGTCTTGATTTTTGGCGGAAAGCGGCAGAAGGATGGCTCGAAAAGATAACTTTTTGAGTTGATGAAGTGGTACAGATTTCTCATCTGCAATAAATAAATAAATCAATCAATAAAAATAAATAAATAAATAAATAGATATTTAGATAGATAGATAGATAGGGAAAAGAAGATAAAAAATTATCACTTTACAATAACAGTCTACGAGAAACTAGCCTGAATTTCAACCGTCTCCTCGAGTTGCAAACTCCCGAGTGAGATTTCTGCATCAGCTAACCGCTAATGCCGCCCAGTGAAGTCCAGTCTCCTCCTCCTTATATGTTGATTGTAGAGGAAGATGATGCATCATTTTTTTGTAAGGGTAAATTATCTAGTTTATTCCTGTGAGAATGTTTCCCTCGTTGATGTTCATTCAATCATATATATTCTATAAAAAAGCACGGCATTCTTTTTTTGGAAAAAAAAAANCGAAATAAATGATGGCCTAAGGGGTTTTCACGATATGCAGTGAAAACGCAGAGAAAATAGGGATAGCTTTTAGGCTTCAAAAGTGAAATGTTTTAATCATATGCGAAATACCTTGTCTGGTTTCCTTGTGTCGTTTCCTTTGGACTACCTCTAAACCTCGGGAAAATACATGTGGCAGATTTGTTTTAAAATAAATCACTTTAAATTAGTATCACATTCTTGGCCTGCAAAAAATGTACTCCGTGTTTGGGTCACTTATTTCGAAAAGGTTATGTAATAATTCAATTCAAATCAAAATTTTGTTACCTCACAATTAAACATTACAGATGTCCCATTGATGTCATTGCTTATATCCCAGAGCACCTCAGCCAGCGAATTGTGCAGCGGCCCTTGATCTTCTCCATAGGATAAGGCCATGTACAGCGGACTTCTGAAAATATCCATTTTCTCGTAGGCGATTGTGAGATTATCTTTTAATTGCTAAATAGAAGATATTCAAATACATTTCTTACAGCCACTCTAGAGCTGTCAAAATTTATTTTATATTAATCAGAGTATCAAACCTGTTGGAGCAAGATAAATTTAGTTCATTTGCTTATTGTAAATTTAAATTAAAAAAAAATCTACTTAATTTATTCACAGTTTGTGACTAAATCATGAAACTAGTGTCAGTCTTGAGATGGAGGTTTCCAAACGGATACCTGGTTTAAGGTGAAAGATTTTGTCTTGATTTTTGGCGGAAAGCGGCAGAAGGATGGCTCGAAAAGATAACTTTTTGAGTTGATGAAGTGGTACAGATTTCTCATCTGCAATAAATAAATAAATCAATCAATAAAAATAAATAAATAAATAAATAGATATTTAGATAGATAGATAGATAGGGAAAAGAAGATAAAAAATTATCACTTTACAATAACAGTCTACGAGAAACTAGCCTGAATTTCAACCGTCTCCTCGAGTTGCAAACTCCCGAGTGAGATTTCTGCATCAGCTAACCGCTAATGCCGCCCAGTGAAGTCCAGTCTCCTCCTCCTTATATGTTGATTGTAGAGGAAGATGATGCATCATTTTTTTGTAAGGGTAAATTATCTAGTTTATTCCTGTGAGAATGTTTCCCTCGTTGATGTTCATTCAATCATATATATTCTATAAAAAAGCACGGCATTCTTTTTTTGGAAAAAAAAAAAGACTCATGTGAACAAAATAAAATGTTGTATGGGTTAAGAGCCGAAATACTGCGATCGTTTAAAGAAGAAAATTAATTTCAACACTTCTTAAGATTTTCTTGTACTCCCTTTCGCTTTTGTAGCCCATCTCAACCTTGAGGCCAAATATTGTGGGAATTGCATTCGGATTGTAGTAGAAGTTCCTCAACAGGAACGTTGGTCGTTAGTCAAGGGTACAGTCTCAACTTGTTATAGCAAATCACTTTCCTTAAGTGTGTTATAAGCCATTTTTTGTAGATATGATATTCCAAGTCGCTTAAAACATTTTGCGGCCCCCGGCGTCATTTGGAGTAGTGATAGAGCCATGGATACAATATGTCTTAAATGGCACTTGCTAAGACATCAATGTTTCTTTTTGGCACCACTTTACCATTGCAGGAATATAGTGTGGTTGTTGATACCATAAGGATATCAATTATACATGACTTGCTTTATATTGACCACCGATATGTATAAATGAAGCAAATATTTCGTTATAGCTTTATTGTTTACAGCTTCTGTTGTTCAGTTACAAACGCATGCACTTGGACAAAGATCATTCTACCTATTGTCAGTCCTTGCCAACGAGCTGAGCGCCTTCTTGTAAGGCAGCGAGTTTTAGACTCTTCGTGCCAATCATGAACGCAAACTCAGCATATTTCATTGCAGTACCTCAGACGCCTCCAAAATATTGCCTTCTCACTTTTAACGTATGTTTTTCTAATGGAGGATGAGCGAGTATCAAAGTAGCCCTCTGTATGGGTAGCTGTCTCAGGGAACTCGCCCAACGGGCAGAACACAGCTTCGCTACAAGTATTACTTTATTTGAGGACTCAAAGTCCTGCAGACAAACATCCAGACATCAGAAAACACAGCTTCTGAAGAGCTAATTAAGAAAATCTGAGGTGTCGTTGGCTTTGTAGGCCTATCAAATGAGACAAGGCAGAAAAGAAAGAGAACTCCAAAGCGACGACGCCAACTGCATCTTCTCACATTGCGGAAGAGACTGCCACTCCCGTTTTGAACTGTGCAGTTGCAGAGGACGTGGATGATTCCTGGTAGGAATGTTCCAAACGGACATACGGGTTCCGTTTCTTCAAACCTTCTTTTGACGCCGTTTTTTGGCAAAATGAGACTAGTTTGTGCAAATGGTGATTTCCGAGCGAGTTTATAGGTTNTGTAGGCCTATCAAATGAGACAAGGCAGAAAAGAAAGAGAACTCCAAAGCGACGACGCCAACTGCATCTTCTCACATTGCGGAAGAGACTGCCACTCCCGTTTTGAACTGTGCAGTTGCAGAGGACGTGGATGATTCCTGGTAGGAATGTTCCAAACGGACATACGGGTTCCGTTTCTTCAAACCTTCTTTTGACGCCGTTTTTTGGCAAAATGAGACTAGTTTGTGCAAATGGTGATTTCCGAGCGAGTTTATAGGTTCGGTCCGAATGGCTTTGTTTACAACTTGCCAAAGAAACGTGGACCGACCTCTTTGCCCATGTAAATGGTAACCACCAAGAAATCCTTGGACACAAATATCCCTGAGTTCGATTTGGCCAGTCGCTTTATTCCCCAGATTTCATAAAATCACTAATTTAAGGGGCAAAAAATTTCTCAAATTGAGTTAATCCGTAGTTTAGGGTTAACTGAAAGTAGATCGGTCTCAGTTATAGTGAGATTTGTTTCATGACCCATTTTCCCTACCGTATTGTTTAGTACCCCACTGCAAAACTACAAAATTAAGTGGGCAGAAAAAATGCAAGTAAAGAATAATTGGATATAATTATTTATTGTTAATGTAACAACAGCATTCTTACAATTACATATCGTTGCTAATAAAATATCTCTTAAAGATTACAACACAAACTGAACCCAGCCAGTCGTGACAAGTAAAATTTTTTTCTCCCACAGAGAGCCTACAATAAACGTCTTCATAAGAAGCTACTAATAATTCGCCATAACGAAAAAAAATAAATATCGGGCCGACGAGGTGCTTTCGATCACAAAAAAGCTAGTCCATTTCAAAGATCAACACGTGTTGCAAATATTATGCTTTTTCATGCAAATATTATTACGTTAAAGTGGGTATAAATGATCTCCCAGTCATTTAATGCTCTATGGTATCGTTTTCCTGCCATTAGATTCCGCTGACACAGATTGAAGCCTCTTCGATGACACTACTGAGAGAGTAGAGAATGACGTAATTCCGGTAAATCTTGACTAGATCGTCATTGATACTGAGATTCTGTAAGAAAAACAGGATTTGAATTTATTAGTATTCCACGATTATACGGTCCACATCTACAAAATTGATTGGATACTGTCGTTAAATGGGGTTCTATTTCGGAGGACAAACCAATCTGCACCTCTTTCCCAAGTTCCTAATCTAAAGTTTAGTTGTTTGTTCTTGCCTACAGGTAGCTCAGCACAACATTGTTTGCAGGGGTTGGGCGATTGAAAGCTTACTTTTTCCTCCTTGCATTGAGGTAGATAGTGTCGGTAAGCCGTGAGAAATGTCTTTGAAGGCAAAGTGTCTCAAAAAATGTCGTCACCAATTGCAGCCTATATTCATACAAGGGATTTATTAAGTTTCCAATAACTCTGTCACTGTATTTTTAACTTATGATATATAAACTACCAAACACAGACAGATGAATTTTCTAAGGTCTGATTTCTAAGTCATGCGACCTTCAGCGCACTTTACTAGCGATCGTTTTTTTAATCTCCTGTTGATATTAAAGACCCAGCTAGCGCTATCTAGTATTCTAGTTTTATACATACCACAATACTATCGTCAACAAGACCTTGAAGGAAATCGCGAACATAGCGATTCAGGTTTGACTCCGAGATTTCAGATGTAACAGGTGGCACAGAAATGGCTCTTTCTCTCATCTGCGATGTAAAAAGAAACCAAACCATTATATAAGTTATGTAAGTTAAATGTTTTAGTACCATTTTGGCGAACAAAAGTGATGTTATCTTAAGACGGATGGTTTATAAAAGTTATCATAATTATTCGTTTTAGTACCGGCCATCCTCATGAGGGCTCCTCGGTGAAGGGGCCAAACTATATCTCTATTAGCCACCTACTTTCAATCACCGTTGCCTTGTTCAGTCTGTAAGATAGTAGTGAGTCTCCCTAGTAAGTGAATTTTTAATCCTAAAACGACAATGTGTGGTCATACCTAGACACTACAAGTCCATAGACCTGGTTGATGAACAATGTGTTTCCACATAAAAGAGAAATAGGAGGCCAGGTACACGAAATTATTGTTCACTTCTTGTATTATCATCAATCTGTTTCTTTTCCGGATTGTGTATCCTCGTCAGCTATTGACTTTATATAAATTTATCTTTATTATAAGCGCACGAAAGCGCAATGTTTTACTTAACATTCAAATAAATTTTGCGTCAAACGTCTTAAAATCAGTAAACGACAGTTGAGGATTTTACATGTCACATCTTCTCTTAGTTGACTTATCTAACTTTCATCTGTATTTGCGCCTTCCCTCCTTCCAAAGTGTTGACTCGCGTATTTTTTAAATGGTAATAATCATCAGTCAACAATGAGAGGGACGTACCATGACAAGTATTTTATCAAATATGACGAATATTGTAGCTTCTTACCTCTCTGATAAGCATAGCTGTTGTAGCATTCACGAAAACGCTGGTGTCCCAGAGGGCATCAGCCAGTATACTGTGGAGCGGTCTTTGATTTTCTTCATAAGAGAAGGCCAAGTAGAGGGGACTTCTAAAGACAGTCAGTTGTTTGTACGCGATAGGAAGTTTGTCATTCCATGCCTGAAAAAAATTAAGGGAAAACTACTAAGATGGAAAAAACCTTGCAGACCTTATAGTGCTGTTATTAAACTGTTTATTCAGCTATTAATCTTGGAAATGGAACTATGACAAAGTGTATTTAAGGGAAAGCTTGACATTTATTCCTATGCATACAAATTCACTGGAAAAAAATGGATTTACATCAAATTTGCTCAAGGGCGATGTAACGCTAAAAAAAAAGAAAATTGATGAGGAGTAAATCATAGGCAAACGTGATAAATATCAAATTTGCATTACTAATTTACACTGGATTGGAAATTAGGAAACAAATGTGGCATTTATTATCTTTTCCCCCGATTTACTCATCAATTTGCACTTGTTTGCATCATATCTGCCCAGGGCAAACTTGGTAAGAAAGCTATTTTTTTCCGGCGTCCACTGAAATACAAAGCAAGTGGGTTAAAAACGGCTCTAAAATCGGCAGGTTGTTTACTGAGAAAAATCGTTCACGGAATGGCACTTCTCAAACGACACAGTACCATTATTTGCAATTTCTGACTGGCTAAACCACTTAAGTAATATCCAACTAGTGGTCTATTATCAATGCTGCGTTCTGATTGGTTGAGCTACTACTAGGCTATATGTTATAGCCCACTAGTAGTGTAAAGCGCCCGCTTTGAAATCCAAAACAAAGGCTTTAAGTCTAGCTTTAACTAGCTAAAGTTGTTTTGTCTCGATAAATTTGATCAACTAGTTGGATTTTACTAACACAATTATTCCTCTAGCCCTCACGGCCTCTGAGTCAATAGCCCATTCGTCCTTCGGCCTCATGGGCTATTGACTCACAGCCCATTCGGGCTCGAGGAATAATTGTTAATTACCGTACTCAAATTTACGGTACGGCTTTTCACTATGTAAGATAAATAAAATCAAGTAGTTAGAAACCTGATTTGGGAAACAGCTATTCGCGTTGATGTTTGGAACCACGAGTCCTGCATCTTCAAGGTAGCTCGTGGAAGTAATAAATTGATACAAGTTTTTCATCTGCAAAAAAGTAAACCGTAAACAGAGCTGCCAGCTTAATTATCTTTTTACCAGTAATGGAGGGAGGGGTGACCACAGTTCCACTGCAGTAATAGGAAGCACGCGTTTTGCAGTGATGAGAGAAGTCTTCCACCTTTGTGGCAGGGTCCGATTCCCATTAGTCTCCCTCGCAGCCGTTTTTTTGGATGTCACGCAACGCTCCCCCAAAAGTTCTTTTGGGGGAGCGTTGCGTGACATTCAAAAAATGGCTGCGAGGGAAACTAGATTCCCACGGGTGGGTTAAGAATGCAGTTGTTTCTCGCCCTTGCCAAGAGGTTTTTCTCCCGGTATTCCCTATCCAGGTTTGCCCTCCCCCAAAAAACAATGCGGAAACGAAGATGCTCCGCGGTATTTGATATTCAATGATTTGTATTTTATTTATTATCCGACAGCTTCGTTCACAACCTTGTTTTCCGCCTGGCGGAACTGTTATATGAGGGGAAAAAACCCTTACGGAACCTTAGGGCATCGGGCCTCACATGACATATACTTTTATTTCATCATATACCTCAATTAAGAACCAAATTACAGACCCAGGACGGCTGACAAATGTTTTGGCTTTATTGCAAAATGCCTTTGTATTTACCCCAGAAATGTTGCCTGTCGACGGGAATACTTGTAAACTATTGTAAACAGTAGTGTCTCATAGAAGAACAAATTACAACTAATTAAAGATACTTAATTAACTAACTTTTTTCATTAGTGCGTTGTGAATAATTAAAAAGTAATTGGCCAAATCCCACACTTTTGGCAATCAAAATTGGCTACTTATGGTAATCGAAAAAAAATCTTTAACACAAAATACCTCTAGACTGGCGTTAGTAACCCTTGAAGGAATCACAGCAGTGACGAGGAGTTCTAATGTGCTTGGGGTATTGTATACTGGAGCACTATGAGCCACTGAGTTAAACGTTGCAGCTGTTATGGCTGCGATAATGATGTTGAGAATTTCCATTTCTTCCCTGGAAGGAAACAACGGATTTCACATTCATTGTTTATATACTGGGTTAACAAATGACGAAAGAATTCCGTTAAGCTGCGTAGCTCTTTAGAAAATAGAAGTAACAAAAATGTTCATTAAAAAGAATAAATAAATCATGAACAAAAGTGCCGTGCTTAGGTTGAAGTTATCCTTTCCAAACGTTTCGGGTCTGGCCCTTCATCAGTGGAATTACCAGTTCGTTGAAACGGTTGCTGGGTTATATGACAAACAATTTTTTGTACAGAAAGATCTAGAATGAATGGTTCACTTTGGCGAAGGATATATCGAGGTGATGTGGTTTATATGTGATGAATCTTTGCAAAATTCCCTTAGAAACGTCACAGTTTTCTCTCAGACAGCAGCAAAGCCGGCTTTAAATCAAATACCTGCACCTATGACAAATATCAGTTGTAACCAAAAAGTGCCTAACCGCGTAACGTGCTACTTACCAATCTTTTCGTACTTTTCGCCTTGCAATGAATTTTACTCCGTATATGTTTTGAATGCATGGAGTGAGTTTCGCTTATATAGTAACTTGTGAGGAAGAAGAATCTTTTCTTTCCCGTCATTTTTCAGTTAAAGTGATCTGTCAGGTATATTCTCGTTGCTCTTTGTCCCTTATTCTCTGACTGTTTGTAGCGCAAATCATGTAAGTATTCTTGGAAGTTCCGTCACGTTTTGCTGCAGAAACCCGAATCTGTCTTGATGCAAAAAATAAAATAAAATAAAAAATAAAAATAATAATAAGTAAAAATAATGAGTACTTCATTTTATTATTTAATCATGGTATACACCGATTTGCCGGACTCACTAAAGAACCTAAAATAGTTATTGTCTTCTGATGAAATCGGTGATGATCTACACATTTCAAAACTAAGTCAAGTTTCTTTTAGCTCAAAATGAAAGGGGAAATAAACAGACCAATTCCCGGAAATGGCCTCATTATACCGAAACAATCCAAAGTATTAACAGCAAACCTATTTCCTTTTTGGGTGGTTTGCAGTTTCCATTTTTATTTGTAGATGGTGACATTTGACTCTATGAGCAGTGAATATTGTAGAATTAATTGGATTTACTTATTGCCATGGTGCTCTACCAAACCACGAACAATCCTTCAACTTGGGTAAAAGTTAGGAAGATGCGTTGTATCTGTGTGAGATTGTTAACCTTTGCAACACCATATATGGTCATTCTTTCGCGTTACATAATTACACCATGACCACGGGGATCTGAGTAACGGATTAAGTCTGTTTATCCAGTTTGAAAATATGTGGGGTCAGCAGAACGAATGTAGCACGAATAGAGCGTAATTAAATTGTTACTAGAGACTAGCAATATTCGATTAGTTCAACTAAATTAATTTCTAACCGTTAAGTAAGTATTTTAATGAACACTGTAGCTTAAAAAGCCTTATAAAATGTTTTCAAAGTGAGTTGAAATAGAACTAACTCGTCGTATACTATATCTTCATCTGTGTCCGTGTTAGCCGCGAGTTGTTCAATACATGGTCAATACATTGCAATGGTCAATACATTGCTTAAGGTTACAGTATGTGTCCATGCTCTAAATGGCTCGTGTTAGCTTTTTTTATCGTGTTTTAAGAAGTTAACTGAATGTAGATATACAACACCAGCTGAGGAGGAAAGAATCATTAGTACACGTCAAATGTTGTTTGTATATTTGCAGTCTTTTTAGCTATAAGTTAATGTTCCTTCTATTGAGCCTATGTTCCTTCCTGACCATATGCTGTTTATTTAATTTTTTATGAATTGCTTAGTTCCTAATTTATTATAAGTACATATTGCTCGTTGCTTTTTTTCACGACGAGCCCACACAGATCACGTTCTATTTTAAACAATTAGAATCGCTCAGTCACACGACATCTCCTTGGGCTTGCCGTGACTCATCAGAATATATTCTTGAGCACGAACTGTACTCAATTAAAGTCAATTAACTTTTTAACCCCTGTTATTGTCACCAAAATGTTCCTCACAGTCCTCCCAACATCTCTTATGAAACTGCTTTGGAGGATTTACTTCTAAATCAAGACTTTTTATTTTTGCTGATCATTTTATTCATTCTCATTACCTGTATGTTTGATCAGGCAGTGGAATTGCCAGGAGAAATAAGATACTATTTTATATACATGATTAAAATTTAAGTGTGTTAATGTGCGTAGCCAAAAACGCGTCAGTGGAAATCAACCTTAAGCCTATTAAAATTCTGCATTTATCATTATTCTATATTGCACCTCACACAACAGTTTCTACATTAAATCTGTACCTGAATACGATTTACCGTGATCCTCTTTGTTTATATCTTTTTAAATTATCTATGAGATAGTTTATTCGTTTCTTTGCGGCAAGTAGTTACAATCACCCTACGTTCTCACCTCTTCCCTCTAAAATCGAGAAAAAAGAAGTTAAATTTTCTGTTTTGAATAATCTTTACTTAACCCTTTTAAGTGCTATTAGTGACTAGAGGCGATTAATTAAGATAAAAAGTGCTGAGCTTAAACGAGAAGTTAAGCGAGGTTTAACTTTTACGCTTACGAGCGACCTTTCATGCATTGCCTCTATTTTATTTGCGAACATAAATTTTACGCACGCAACGCACACAAAAATTACGCGACAGTGGAAATCAACCCTTAGTCTTCAGATGGGCTTATTTTTTCATGTGTCTTAACGGAGAGGAACTTTTTCCCCCTGTCATCTCAACAGAGAGGATCACAAACATCGTTCTTCTCTAACAAATGCATTTTTCATAGTATTTTTGTTGTTGCACTCGACAGTAAAAAAAGATTGAAAATAAAAAATAGCGGATGTAAGATCTCAGAAGTCACGAGATAATGCAGAACTCTTGGATCATTCTTAAAGCAACCGAGGAGAGTGGAAATTGAAAACCATATTTTAAGAAAATTGCTACGTGTAATGTTGGGGGATTTTACAGCATAGCCACAAAAATGGCGAAACCACTATCTACGGCTATGACTCCGCTCTGTTCTTGGTGTCATGTTGATGTCTTGTAAAGTTAATTTTGACGTATATTTTATACGTAGAACTATCAGCTTTGCAGAATTCAGTATGGGTGCTCAGTGTATATTTTTGCTGGTCAGGTCTTTTATAGATCCTACGTTTTGCAGCATATTCGCTTGCGGTCCTTTGCAGTTTAAATGTCCATTTACTACATGTAATGTGTCCGCAACAGCCAAACTGAAGGGCGAGTTATACCCATTACGTAATGAAGTGCTTATAACGCCTTGTCATGCCATTTATTGGTGGCGAGTGTACATAATTATTGCATAATTTATGCAATTATTATGCATACTCGCCAAGTTATTCCCTTTAACATCAAAGAGGTCAACTACATTCAATACATCTTCCTATATTTTAATCCACTAAACTAATTTCTGCATACATTACACTACCTACAATCACAACACCGAAACATAGTGGGGAAGGAGTGTAGTGAGTATTTAACAATTATTCCTCGAGTCCGAATGGGCTATTGACTCAGAGGCCATGAGGGCGAGAGGAATAATTGTTTTAGTAAAATCAAACTAGTTGTTTAAAAATATCGAGAATAATAAAAATTTAGCTAGTTAAAGACAGACGTTAATCCTTTTTTGCCGCCAAAAAGCTGGCGCTTTTCGCTACTAGTGGGCTATAACATACAGCCTAGTAGTAGCTCAACCAATCAGAAGGCAGCATTGATAATAGACCACTAGTTGGATTTTACTAATAGTCACTGTGGCTATAATGGACGTAGGTGAGCAACGCTGTGAGTGAAGTGGTAAGTGCAATGTAATGCAGGGTGCCAAGTGAGTGCTATACGCGTTGCGGAAGCCGCATAGTGAGTGTAGTGGATTTAGTGACAGTCGTCTGTGTCGTGAGTTTAATTGGTGCACGTGGCGAATCCAATGTAGTGAGAGTGATGATGCAATGTCGAAGTGAGTAGATGTCATGAATTGACTCTTTGTAGTGAGTATTGTGGATTTGGTAGATGAAGTGATTGTTCTAAATGTAATGTAATTAAGCGTGGGCAGTGTGGTAGGTGTTGTGGATTAATACAGTGAATGAAGTGGATGTTATGGATGAAGTTAGTCTAGCATGTTTGGTAGATGGATGTAGTGGTTAGTTTAGCGGTTGTACTGCACCGGATGTTTTGGATGAAGTGAATGTGGCGAGTGCAGTTGATGTGGTAGATGTAGAGGAGCAGATGTAATGGGTAAGTTGAGTGTCGTTCATATCATGACTGTAGATAGTGTAGTTAATGTTTTGGATGTAGTGGGTATAGCGAGCATACCGTCATAAAATTCGGAATCCGAAAATAAGCCCCTGGGCTTATATTTTTCAAAGGCCCCTTTTTAGGGAGAGGCGTGTATTTGGAGCGGCTTATCTACGGAGGGAAATTTGCGTTTCAAAATCGATTGGGCTAGCCTTATAGCTGGAAGGACATTTACCTTTCTCGCTTTGTTGTACTTTGTATTTGAGGGCAATTTCCAAGTACAAGCCCCCCGGGGTGCTTATATTTGGAGGGGCGATTTAACGGAGGATTTTTTGCGTTACAAATTTGGGGAGCTTATATTTGTAGGGGCTTATACATGGACGGGCTTATTTTCGGAATTTTACATTTGCTGTAGTAGTAGATACAGTAAATATAGTAAGATTTGTGAGTGTAGTGACAGTAGTTTTAGTTGGATAAAATGGATGTACTTAATGGTGTGGGGGATGTAGTGGGGGTAAAAGATGCACTTAGTATACTGGATACAGTAAAGGTAGTGGATAATGTTATGTTAATCCGTTACAATATTGAAAAAATCACTTGGCTATTCAAAGAAAACATCCTAGCAACGTGAGATTGCGGAATTTTCTTGTTCTCTATTTGTGTTTTGTGTTACGTGAAGTTAGTTTAATTACAGTGTACTTTTGTTATCACGTTTGCTGTACTTTATTTTGTCAGCCTTTTCCATATGCGTATTATTTTCTGTAATTCTATTGTCGGCTTCGCGTCACTTAATAGTTATTAGAGAGATTAAGATTTACGTTTACGCCAAAAGGCAAAAGTCGGATTCAAGTTGAGAATTTCTCAGAATAGAAATTAAGCAGATAAAAACTGTCCAGAACAATTCTTTTGTATAACACTTGGACTTGGAAAAAACTAGGTCACGTGGTACAAATTCACGTTTGCCGTTTGGCGTAAACGTGAATCTTAATTTCTTTATTGTCAATTTAAAACTTTTATTTTATGTCCTTGTAAATCATTCATTTTTTTTGTATTTTTTGCTAGCTTTGTTATTCGTTTCTTGTACTTTAAGTTATCTTTTTTTGCAAGGTTTCAAATAGCGTTTTATATTAATTCCGTCTTGTTTGTTTTTTTTTTGCTGTAATTTTGCTATAGTGTATCGTAAGTAAAAGACGAACACGAACTGTACGTGATTCATTACATAAGAGCTTCTCCTGTCTTTTTCCTGTCCTTTCTTTTTACTTGCTTTTAAAGCTTTGTGTTACTTGTTTGCTCCTTTGCGCTCGACCTTATCAGTCACGTGTGTCAGGTGTAATCTAGTGTAAATAATAATCTGGCACTTTATTTTCCAGATCTCAAAACATCAACTGAATATAGTGCAAAGAAAATATAAACCAATTAATTTTTTTGTCGCTTTATTGTTAATTTAACAATAACACGTTTACAATGGTTTGTCGTAATTAGAATATCTATAATAGATTACAATATCAACTGATCCTGATCAGTAACAAGTACAAGTTTCCCCCTCTCACAGAGAGAGCCTACTGTAAATAACTTCATAAGAAGTACCTCAATATTCTTTGCTAAAGAAAATAGAAATAATTGTTCTTAGCCAGAAAAGGCATTTTCGTAGATGAAGTAGATGTACATATACATTTAAGGCTTAACTAGGTTGCGAGTTTTTTTTTTTTAATCGCGTTGAATTTTTTTATGCCTGCATAATAGGTCTATTGTAGTTTTTTTATTATAATCTTCTGCTTGCAGAATTTAATATGTCTATAATCTTCAAGGTACTTTTTCTTGTTGCTTTTTTCTAACGGCTTACAAAACTAAATAAATAATGTTAATATGGTAACAAAATAATTTTATTATAAATATTTCTAGATATAAATTTGATATTCAATTTGACTGAGGAAAAGTATTGGTAATCTTGCAACTGCCAGCAGGCTGCAATGCGATTGTTTTTGTTTCGTATCAGATCCCTCTGACACAAATGGAAGCCTCGTTGATTTCACTCTTCAGCGACTGGAGGATGACGTAATTCCGGTAAGCCTTGACTACATCGTCTGTTATACTAAGGGTCTGTTGGGAAAATGAAATAAAACATACGGCAATTTAAATAAGTTAGTAATTTCTGGTCTTATGGTTTGCTGTTAAATTTTAACCTCACACTTAGCGTAAATTTTAACAAGGAACCCATGTTATAGGTTGATACGTATTCTCGCGCAGACGACTGCATGATTTTAGTTTAATTTGTTTTCTACGTTTTTAATGGCTGTGAAGAGCTTGACAAAAGACCAGCCTTGCATCGACCACTGTCAATATTTTTGTTCATATTTTTTGTTGCTATTATCTGAACTCGTTTTCAGAGCGCATTTTTTTTTTTTTCAAGTCAGTAGTTTATTCAATACGTACCACGATGCTTTTGTCCACGCAAGCCTGAAGGAATACTCGAACATAGTTATTGAGGTCTGCCTCGGTGATTACAGACTCAACAAGTGGCACTGGGATGCTTCTTTTTCCCATCTGAAATTTCAGGTAAAAAATACAAAAGATTATTTGGAATTTTGAAATTGATATTAACTAGTGTGTTTTGGAGGGTGTCTTGGCCTTTGACCTATAAAATTTCGAAATAATTCCAGATATAAGCAAGTTCTAAGGTCTTGTAATGTCTCAGAGAAGAAGTCGGTTTTTGCGAACAAAGGAACTGGTTTTCTTGTTTGGAGAATCTTCAGGAGCCAGAAGTCAATGAAGATCAGCTGAAATGCTAAAAAGAGCATTTTATTTCATTCTCCTTGATATCAATCTGCATTTTTGACGATTGATTGTAAAAAATTAGTACCTTTTTAGACGGTTGACGGTGAAATTTTAGGCCGTTTGACGGCTGACGGTTAACCCCATTGAGACCCTCTTTGAAAGCCTAATTTCTAATTTCGTGATGAAAAATTCAAACGTGACAATAAATAGTAAATACAGTAGGAAGACGAATCGTTTTTTATTTATCTAAACTATTAACTTAGCCTGCTATATAAAATCGATTATTTAGTTAGCCTACCAGCGGAGGTGAGGCGGAAGTGCTCATTCGAAGATCCATTTATTTTTTATGATTATTCCTTTTTCAGTTGAAAATGTATCGCTACTTATCATTTTCCACTCTAACGCTATCTTTTTGTTTTTATAAAAAACACTCATATGTTTCTGTCTTTAAACTTTCACAAACAATGAAGAAGTACTTTGAAAGTACAAAAGTCTTCTTGCAAGTTTCTTACCTCGCTGCTAAGCATTTTTGTTGTAGCATTCACGGAAACGCTAATGTCCCTGAGTACATCAGCCAGTATACTGTGGGTCGGTCCTTGGTTTTCTTCATAAGAGAAGGCCATGTAGAGGGGACTTCTAAAGACAGTCATTTTTTTGTACGCGATTGGTAGTTTGTCTTTCCATTGCTTAAATATAGACAAAAAAGTAACGTTAGCACCGCAACTTACAGAGGTTATAGTACTGTTAATCTTTATTAAATTGGAAACGGATTTTTACCAATTCACAGAGAATCAAGGAAATCTTGTTCTGAAAAACCTATAAAAAATCTTTGCATTACATGTGAGATATGACTGAATCGCTGGGTGACTGATATACAGTAAACTCGGTTAGAGGTGAGCTGTTGACTCTTCGAAGCTTCACAATATTTTGCATCAAAACTATGCATAAAGCGTGTTTTATAAAAGATTTGTTGTTTCGTGATAAATATACTGCAGAGACTGAGGATGAAATCAATATTCGGGGAAGGTAGTTTTTAACTCATACAAATTTTCTTTCGCGCTTTTTAGCTGCGTGTTAGGTGTAATATAATTACTTCGATAAGCTGCGCGGTCTCGCTCAATTCTGTTTCATTTTTATCCTGTCACCTATAAATGTATAGATTTAACACACTTAAATAAATACCTGACTTGAGGTACACCCTTGTCCGTTGATATTTGGTAGCAAGAGTCCCGTATCTTCAAGGTAGCTTGACGAGGTAATAAACTGATGAACGTTCTTCATCTGTAAAATATATGGAAAATATTTTTTGAATCGTTTGTCAGTTCTACGACATTCAACAAATGCCCATTGAATACAAGATACACAGCAGGGGTTGGAGGACGGGAGGGGGGATTGTAAAAGTTAACAAAAAAAAAAAAGGAGAATCTTAACGATGAAAAGTCGCCGTTTTCTTCCGCCAGTGGGGATTTTTCAAAAGCAGACTACCAAAATGAAGGTGAAGGTTACGTGAGGGAAAGACATCGACATCTGGCAAGTAATGTTCTTGATTTAACTTAAATAACAAAGCAGAGGATTATCCTCTCTTCGCAGACGGTGTAATCCCCAGAAATGTTGCTTGGTAACATGAAACTTACGGAGGTCTCGTGTTGAACTTTCTCATCACTTGGGAACACATTCTTATGAATTTTTGGAATTGAAGTTGACATGAATCGAAACCCCCCTCTTCTTTCTCTTATGTCTATAACAGTGATCAAAGAAGAATATCTACAATTCAAAATACCTCTTGCGTGGCGTTAGTGACTCTTGAAGGAAGCACGGAAATAAGGAAAAGTTCAACTGTGTTCGGAGTATTGTGCACGGGTGCGCTATGTGCTACTGAGTTTAACACTGCGGCAATTATGGCGGAGATGATGATCTTGCAAACTTCCATGATTTCTCTTTGTAAAAATAATTAAGAAATATAAAATAAATTAGTACTAAGGCCCTTGTTAAATAAGCGACAAAGGAAAAGGTTCAAAAATTGTAGCCATCGACGATGTTAGTAGTGCAAAAACTACCTTGGTTTTCTGTTCAATTTTCTCTGCGAGATTTTATCCTTCCCTAACTTATAATTTCTTTACCTAGTGGAAGCATTCTTTCCCCCAAAAGTTGCTAAAGTAATGGTTTATTTTTGTGTGAGTTTACATTTGTAGTCGTAAAGAAAAATGCTTAAAACTTTCACTGCCAGCCGAGTGTGATGGTGGAGCCTAGTATGATGGTTCCAAGTCAAGAGTCATTCAACAGCACTGATCCTATGGTGTGAGCATTCAAATCAAACCTCTTCAGTAGTACTTTCACATGGTGCTATTTAATATAAGTATGTAGTTCCCACTTTTAAGTCTGTGGACAAAGTCCTATGCTCTGAGCATTCAAATAAAACCTCTCTAGCAGTACTCACATGGTACTATTAATTTAGTAACTTTAGTTCTAACTTTTGAGTCTTTGGACAAAATCCATGGTGTTACCACTCAAATGAAACCTCTTCAGCACTTCGTTCATTTGATATCATTTGTTTTTGGGCATTTTACTAAATGGAATTTCGGATACATTTGTTGAATCTTGACTTTCGCCACCTATGGCAATGAAAGGGTTAAACTTGTACTTACCTGTAGTCTTGTCAGTTGTTGTATGTGCCTGAACTTCTTTCCAATTCGATTTGCTCTGAATAATTGCTGAATCCATGCTGAGAGTTTCATTTATATAGCGTCTCATGAGGAAGATATGTCCTTATTTCCCATCACTGTTTTTTCGGAAAGTTACCCGTCAGGTTTATTCTCGTTACTCTTTGTCCCTCAGTGCCGAGGGTTTGTAAGTCAAATCATGTTATATTATTGGAAGTTCCGTCACATTCTGCTTCAGCGAGAGAAATCACGGGAAGCAATTGAATTAGCATCAATTTTTCTTTTACTGTTTTTATCTTGCTGAAGCATTAATGTGATCCGCATCTCCCACTAGAAGAAAAAACGTACATTAACTGACAATGTTAGGATGCGGAAAATAATAATGAAACCATCTTTTAAAATCTCTTTTCAAGTTTATTGTTGTCTTAGGTAATATAGCTGCTTATTGCAATTTTCTATAAATTTCATAAGCCAGCTCGGGTTTCAGCTGGCATAAAAGGGAAATTTTTTAAAACAATGAGGGCAACGGTATTGCATACCCGGAACATTCAACTGGAAGTGTCTGAGGCAATAACCGTCGCACATCTTCTGATATGCGATAACTTCCCTTATTGCGAAATTTGTGGTGATATTATTATTATTATTAGCTGATGATTGCGTAGCCTATGATCACTTAGTATGTTTTAGAATATTGGGCTATTTTGCAGTGACTTGATGTGATGCTCAAATCATCTCTCCAGTGCTTGTTGCCGAAAATGATATAACAAATATTTACACCTATAACCCTATTATTGTGGCCATTAGACTTCCTTACATTCAAACATACATAAAACTTTATTTCATCTCGAATTTCAGAGTAGCCAAAAATAGGCTAATATCTCGGAGAAACGAAAAAATCCTAAAATGAACTAAACCATGGTATACACTAACTAGAGAAAATCTGTATCGCCGAATTGCTAAAATAAAGTCATGCAAAGACGAAAGGGTTTAAAATGACCATTTATAAGTGCCCTGTACTTTGCTTTGTTTAAAAAGGTTGCCTCTTTCCAGTCAAACAAGAAGTTTTAGTATTCGGTATTTCCAAACTCAATTAAGCGACTTAGTACAAATGGATGCTAAAACAATGTACCAACAATATCAACAATATTCCTCTTTGTAATTTGAAGTAAGCAGGAATAGAGCATCTCTATCAGGCTCACTCGATTGTCTGATTTTCAGCTACAGTTTTTCTGTCCCATTTTTGTTCTCATATTAACACCATGCACTTTTGTTAGGGAAGGTACACTAAAATGGTAATGCCCATCTTTTAACGTGCTTTGTGTTGCAATGTACCCAATACCATTTTCGAATCACGGGTCTCCTTATAGCCTCTGGCGCAATATACAGCTTTGATTTTGTGTTTTTAAACACACGTTGAAATTGATAATGATCAGGAAAAGCACCAATTCGACTACTTTACGTCTGTTGATAGTCCGCGTAAACTTGACCTTCGATACTCGAGTGATTGATTAATAAACCAAAAACTATGAACTACATTCTATTATAAAGGGAACGTGTTAGTTTATTTTTTGGTATAAACACGTCGTCCACAAACTTCACAAACTATCTGTTTAAGTTGTTTAACTGGATACTTCATTCTAAGTAGACAAGAGAGCTTCATATCGCTTTAGTTACTTTGTAATCGTAGAAGACAGCCAGAGGTTAAACAAGGTCAAAACTTTAAAGATAACTTCATTGTTCGTCGTAAAAGCTTGTTTGAGCTCTGCGTTTACTAATCGATCGGCTCTTGTTTCTTCCTTTTCATGAAATAATTAAACATTGTTCCTCAATTAATGGGAAGTTACCTCCTATAAACACATTACTTCCCCGTAGTATTTGACGTTACATGTTTACTCATGGCTTTATTACGTAGCTAATCCGATCATTTTCTATTTAAATTAGTGGAATGACGTCACACGATATCACGCCTTACAGTGACGGGTAACACACTCGAGGAGAGGAACATTTAACTCTGTCAGTCTACCCGATTAAAGGAGCTATTTCGCGCTATTTGCTACATGTATCTTTAAAAAAATGCTAAAACGTGTCTTTGCATTGATTGAATTCTAAAAATAATGGTCCTGTTTTGCTAATTAGACTATATTTAGGTATTGACACTGTTTCCAGTCGTCTTTTGCTACAGATTTCAATGTTGGACACGGGTTGAAGCTACAAAATTATATTGGACCAGCTTTTCAAGTTTTGAAGCTATGCCTACAAAGATCGCCATAAAATTAGGAGGTTCCTGATGAAATATGTTTGATCTCTTTTTCATAACTCTACAGTAGAATTTTGTGTAAGGGCAAAACGCAAAAACTTATTACTTCAGCACAGAATTGACCTAAAGCAGCAATATCCTCGTGACATAGACCCTTTAAGAGTACTTGAAATCCCGTGGGGGGGGGGGGATACTCCCTTATATAAGCCATATAGGTATGTGCCGCCCCAAAGGGTATGGTTTTTGGGCCTCTTTGGTCTGAAGACGGGTATAGACTTTGCCCATTTTGATCTGAAATCGGGAATGGTATGGATTTTAGAGGTCAGGTCTGAGAACGGGTGTGGAAAATGACATTTTTTGGTCTGAAATAGGGTCAGGATTTGGAGAGCTAGGCGGCACACCCCCATCAAGAATTCCCAGAAGTACTCCCCCGGGGCTTGAAATGCGGACAAATCTTGCTAGAATTTTGCGTAAGTAGATGGATTCTGAGGGAAACCATGCTTCCCGGGAAGTCACGGCAGTCTATAAACCTTATTACCGTTTTATTGCGAAATTTACATCTTCGTGGTGAATGTGTATGCCTCAACAGCTGTATATTTAAAGTTACATCATTACAGACTGGGATGAACTTTGAATGAAAGCCTTTAGGTTCAAAAGTTTTCAAAGACTCTAATTTCCATAACTTTTGATATTCTGTAATTTTGTGTTTTCTGTGTTATTGATATCTTCCTTCGACTTTTTAAGCGGTAATCTTTCCATTTCGCTGAATTCGGTGGTCAGTTCCCATTGTCTGAATTACGTGACACCTTTAACCCAAAACATTTTAAAAGTATGTTGTCAATTTGAGTTTCAGCAGAAAGTGCTGTTTGAAATTTACAACTGAGGCGAACTCAATCGCGGCTCGCGGCTTGCTGGTCGTCGCTTTTTACCTTTGCTCGCCTGGGTGTCACGTGGCTACCCAGTAACTCTCGGACGATAAAAGCCTGCCCGCATTAAACGGTTAGCATAATCTATGTGTCCTCATGGGGCTAGATCAGTATCGCACTGAGATTATCGTTGGTCTTGTCAAAAGAGAAGTCGATGGAAGAAAAAAAGTAGTTTTTAAATACAATGAAGCTTATGGTTTAAAAACGGAAATCGAAAGGTTTTCAGATCACTACTACTGAGCATACTGAGATTCCGCGTAAACAGGACAACACGGACAAGGATGTTAAATCCTGTAGACGTATTTATTTGTTTAAGCGCTCAACCTCTGACAAGCACCCACCTCCGGAATAACCGCCCACCCTATAGGCTGGAAAAGTTAATAAGCGCCAAATCCCCTAACCACTCCGACAAAAAATTGACCTTACTAACAATTGAAGAAGACTAAGTTTTACTACGAGACTCTCCTGAAGATCGTGAGAGGAAAATGAACGGTTAAAAATCTGCTTTAGCCTGCGTAGCAAGCGTTTCCAATCGAGTTATTGCGCGAAAGTTAGAGCGGAAGCAAAAAAAAGGTTGAAGGGGGAGCGGGAGGGGAGAAGAAGAAACGCTTGCCCGCAAACCCCACGATTCTGGAAAACGACCCTTGATATTTCACGGTTCGGTTCATTTGTAAATTGACAGCTCGTCAAAATAGAAACATAACGAACAGATTTGTAAAATTACTTTGTTCTCTAATAGAACACGTTGCAGGCACATTGCACATTGCAAGAACTGTAATAAAAAATATTTACAATAAAAGAAAGTTAAAACTATGAGTGATTGCTGCAGAATTTCTTGTTTTTTATTGTGTGGCTTTATCTCGTCTGAAACCTTGTCGACATGTCAAAAATTATTTGTCCGGAACAATTCACTCCGCCGGGTATAAGTTTTGCAGAGCGGCTGCTCTTCAGCCTGTGTCGAAACGTTCTCTACAATAGATGCCGCTAAATTTCCAATAAACAAAAAGAATCTTTTCACTTCAAAATCTGACAAATCGCTTGTCAATGGCGGCCGCTTTAGCTAGTGTCGAGTACCGATGTTCTGATT